TGCCCTCTGCGTGCTGCGTGTTGCGTGTCCGGGTTGCATGTTAGGGTGCCTGTTTCATGTTGGACAGACCGACATGGGACTTGGCCGTCAGGCCACCTAGGGTGCTCCCTGAAACCGCTGCGAATGAATTGCGGTGCGGAAGCGACGGAATGGAATGGAATGCGGTGATGCGAGTGTGTGCAGACTCGTGTATGTGTGTGTGATGAAATGAACGAATATCAGCGCCAAACGCAAATGGATCACGAGGATTGGACGGCCAGGGCCTTCTTTCCACATGAAGAAGCGTTGATTACTCAACAACAGGGCCAGCAGTAAGTGCGTGAGTGAGTGTCTGAGGGGGCTCCATGGGGAGCAAAAACTTGTGAGGCCTGCCTGTCCAAAGCCACCCCCGCAATGCACTACCTGCCTGCAGGGGTGAGCTGATCAGCTGCCCCACTCTCCCACACACTCACTCCCTCTCACTCACACCCACACCCTCTCACACCCGCCATGTCAATGTCCTGCCTTGCCTGCACGCACACGATTGGTACATGTAAGTAATACAGCGGATCGGATAGGATCCCCAGCAACCAACCAACCAACCACCCACCACCAAACCACCACGACCACCCCTCCCCTCCTCCCCCCGCGGCCCCGCCCACAGGCACAAGACGCCAGCAAGAAGGCCCCGCCGGCCCCACTCATCTCATCAACCAAGCCAGGTAAGGTAAGGTAGGGTAGGGTAACAAGGAGGAAGAAAGGAAGGAAAGACAGACGGATGAATCATTGATGGCCAGCAGAGCAGAGCAGATGGGATTGCACCGGCCCGGCCCGGCCCGCAGGCACTCTCACACCACAGGGCGGGCTATGATGGAGCCGCCGCAGCGCTGCTGCTGCTGCTGCTGCTGGCGCCCTTGCCCTTCTTGGGTGAGGTTCTCTTGCGGTCTTGCACAGAGATCTGCAATAAACTTGACACCGCTGCACACACACACACACACACACACAGAGGGACAGGTGCGCATACGGGTGAATGGATTGGTGTGCGTATCGTATGTGTGTGGCTAAGTGGGTGGTTTTACGTACGCTGTCTGCATATGGGGCATTTGTTGCTCTGCATCCGCATGATGTTGGCGCACTTAACACAGATACAGTGAGAGAGAGAGAGAGAGAGACGGATGCAGGCAGAATCACTCACTCACTCACTGCCTGCCTGGCTGGCTGGCTGCCTGGAATGGCTTACCCCGTTGCATAGGCACATGTGTCTGCACGGCAGCACGGCGGTGTCGCGCTCCTCAGACAAACATATCACGCACTCTCTGCACACACAACGCACACCCACACCCACACCCATACACTAGGGATGACGCGACGCATGGTCTGAAAGTGTGCAGGCAGCCACGCGGTGTGGTGGGTACCTTCCTGATGAGAGGTCGTCCCCCAGGCTCTCACTGCTCCCTCCCGCCTTCTCGATCCCATAGATCTCCTGCACACACAACACACACACACACACACACACATATATTAAACCACACACATGAAGATCAGACGCCCTCGATCCGTGTGTGTGTGGGTGTTGTGTTGTGCGTTGCTGGCGTTCATGGCTGAGCTACTTAGCTGGCGTCCTACCTGGACTTCGTAGCTCTTTTCGCCGTACTGGACCTTCTGCTTGAGTGTGTGAAGGGACCAGTTGTTGCTCGCCTTGTCCATCTCAAGACTCGCATACGTGTACTGCGATTGCACAAAGTCGCCCGCACCTATCGCATGCTGCACACACACACACGTACGGCACAGTGGTCTGTCTGTCTGTCTGTCTGGCAGGAGCATACCAGTTCGATGACCACTGGGTAGGTGTCAGCGTCCTTTTTGTATGTGAGCTTGTCCAGCGGGTGTGACAGCAGGTTCAGCGCCTCACTGCTCGAGGACCTGCACACACACACACACGACCATGACAGACACCACACGATCGCTCGGTGAGTCAGCGAACGTGACTGACTGGAGCTGTCCCATCCATCCCACGCCACGCACCTGTAGTGCTGCTTCATGCCCTTGGGGAACCTTCTCGACACGGCGGAATCCTTGCTCTCACACGTGAACCTGACAGCCATACCACTAAGGTCATGAACGATACCTCTTGTTGGCCTGTATGTCTGTCTCCCATTGGCAGGCTCGCTGGCAGGCAGACAGGCAGGCAGGCACAGCGACATACATACATACCGTGGCAATCTGGTGTTTTTGTCTTCTGCTTCCTTGGCGACAAAGTAGATGGTGATCTCGACCTCATCCAACGCGTCAAAGTCAAACTCTATGTAGTAGATGTTGGCCGACACAGGATCCTACAGGGCAAGGCAGTCAAACCAAACCAAACAACCACACAACCACATACACACACACACACACATATCAATCAGTTCAATCAATCAACATGCCGCCCGTCGTCAGCGGCCAGCACTGACTGACTGACCTTTTCCATGGCGAGGCTGCTCTTCTTGAGGTTGACGGGGTTCTTGACCACACACGTCTTCTTCAGCTGAGCTGGCTGCACACACACGCACACAGACAGACACACAGACACACAGACAGAGAGAGATAGAGAGAGTGGCGTCTACCGATGGTCTGTCTGTTCCTTCAGGATCGGTCCTCCCTCGTGTGTGTGACTGACAGCGATTTGTTGTCTCATGTGCTGCCCCGGTGGGGCGATGGCCGGCCCGATGTTGGGGTAGTATCCGGCGGTGTTGTAATTCATCTGATACGGACGACCACCCTGACACACACACACGCACACACACGCGCCAGAGAGTGTCAGAAGCATCTTACGAGGTCGTGATGCCCGTGTGTCTGTGTGACTGACCTGCGGCGCATAGCTGCCGTTTTGAAAAATATAGACCTGCTGCGGAGGAGCCGTGGGCCCCTGGACAGCGAATGACAAACACACACAACACAACACAACATGAAGCAACACGCTGTGTGCCCTGCTGACAGACGGACTGCACTCCTTTCGGTGTGCGGGAGTGTTCTGTGATCCTCTCACCTGGTCCCGCCCATTCCGCGAAGCACGGTTCGTCGAACCGGACCCTCCCATATCTTCAACCTGACAACACGCCTGCTAGTTCGACGACGGAGTCAACAAACCGGCCAGAGCTGATGCTCTGGCCTATCCACAAGCCTTCAAAGCACGAAACAAGTCCTCTTGACACTGCAAGTTCACACTTCTCTTCTTGCGAGCTCAAAACAAGCGGGCGGCACTGATTGTGGAGAGAGAGATCTCGGCGATGGAGCGACAGAGCAGGGCGGCGATACGAGAGCGGCACTCCCACGGCTCGCCGAGTGATGATCCTGACCATGCATATCGCAGCAGCGCAGCACGGCGGGGATCCTCGTGTGCACCGGCATCCCCACGGCAACCAGCCAAGCGGGTGCACGGGACAATCCCAGCGCTTTGCATGCTGATCTCATGTTGTTTGGCGAATGAAGTCAGCGGCTGGAGGCGGCAGGCGGGCTTTACCCCATCAGTATCATCCGCAGCAGAGAGGACCCTCTTGAGGCATCAGCAGCACCGGCAGAGGCGGCAGAGGCGGCAGGGAGAGCTGTCGATGAACCTGGCGGCCGGCATCGTAGGTATGTGAGTGATTTCAGTGCTCACCCAAACATGCGTTCGCTCATCTATTCATCCGCCCATCCCATCCTTGTGTGTTGACTTGCTCGTTCAGGTCTTCCTAATGTTGGTGAGAATAAATGGCAGGCAGGCAGGCAGGCAGCAGAGATGATGAGAGGGCCATGTGTCATGGATGGATGGATGGATGGATTCCATGTTGGTTGCATCGCTTACATCGGTCAGGGAAGTCCACACTGTTCAGCGCGCTTACCAAGAAGCAGGTGGATGCGGCCAACTACCCCTTCTGCACCATTGAACCAAACACCGGTGGGTCGGGTCGGGTCGGCACGCGCCATCCGAATTAAGCGCACGCCAACTGGCGCTGCTTTCTCCCTCCCTTTCCCTCATATAGGCATTGTCGAGGTGCGTGACCCGCGTCTGTCTAAGCTCGCTGAGCTGAGCAGCTCTCAGAAGATAGTGTTCGCCACGACCACGTTTGTGGACATCGCTGGTCTGGTGAAGGGTGCCTCCAAGGGTGAGGGTCTCGGCAACAAGTTCCTCTCCAACATCCGCGGGACGGACCTCATCTGCCATGTGGTGCGGTGCTTCGACGACGAACACATCACACACGTCGACGGCAAGATCGACCCCATTACGGTCTGCCGGGGAGGGAGGGAGGGAGGGAGGGAGCGATGATGTCGAGGTTTGTGTGTGTGTGTTGCTGTCACAGGACATAGAGATCATCAATTTGGAGCTCATCTTGGCCGACCTGCAGATGGCCGAGAACATCGCAGCCAACCTCAACAAGAAGGCCAAGAACGACAAGCAGGCCGCGGCGACGCTGGAGGTCGTCAAGGTCGCCATCGAGCACCTCAGCGCCGAGCTGCCCGTCAGGAGCCTCCAAACCAGCGGCAAGCTGAAGGAAGACGACTACGCCCTTGTGTCGCAATACGACTTCATCACGTCCAAGCCCGTCATCTACGTGCCCAACGTCAAGGAGGAGGACCTCCCCCACATGGACAACGAGTATGTGCGGCAGGTCCGCGAGTACGCAGAGGCCGAGGGCAGCCAGGTGATCCCAATCTCCGCCAAGTTCGAGGCCGAGGTGGCCGGCCTTGACGAGGAGGATGCGCAGGAGTTTCTCGACTCGGTTGGGCTTGACAAAACAGGACTCGACCGACTCATCGCCGTAAGCCACCAGCTTCGCACATCTCAGACACACACTGTAGCAGACATCTACCTTTGTGATGCAGACGTCCTTCGATGCGCTTGGTTTGATGACCTTTCTGACGAGCGGTGAGCAGGAGAGCCGGGCGTGGACGATCCTGAAGGGCAGCCGGGCGCCGCAGGCGGCGGGCAAGATCCACTCGGACTTTGAGAAGGGCTTCATTCGGGCCGAGGTGACGGCGTACGCCGACCTGGTGGAGCACGGCACCCGCGTCAAGGCCAAGGAGGCGGGGAGAGTGCGGATGGAGGGGAAGGAGTATGTGGTGCAGGATGGGGACGTTATCGTCTTCCACCACAACTGACTGGCCCACTCACCCACTCACTCATTCGCTGCTCTCTCTGCGTGCCCCGCCCCCCGCATGTGATGTGCGCTGGTGGGGGGGCTTTGGCGATGTGCGATGTAGCACACCACCCCACTGCCTTGCATTGCATGATCAATATGATGTGCTCTGTGCGTGCTGCTCTGTGCATATGTGTGTGTCGATGCCATCCATGTAGGGGTGGGTGGATGTTTTGGCGCCGCTAGCTGTTTTCCTGAACGACTGCCTGACTGACTGGCTACCCAAAGGGTCGTGTCGTGAGCAAGGCGCATCGCATCCATCGATTTTGTGGGGGCTGGTGAGAGAGGACGATCGAGACATGCACTCACATGCGTTCATTCATTCTGTCCACCCACCCCTTCATTTCATGGTCGACCGACCGACCGAGGGTGTGACTCTGTGGATGGGCACGTGCTGGTGTTGCCTTTGCTGTGGATCGCTGGCACCCGCCCCGCCCTGGCATGCGGAGGGCGGGCGGGGTTTCGGTGATTTGCAGTGTCGGCGACACCAACACGCCAGCCATGCCATCCTGTGTGATCGATGAGATGAACCGACGTAAACGTGTCAAATCACGTTCATGTCCACACATAACGATGTCCGACGCGCTTCCCCTCTCACGCCACGCGTGCAGGCGCATTCGCGTTCACCCACACACCCACCATTCGCAGCAACAGTGCACACAGCACGCCCCCAACACACATGACATACGTTTCATTCGCCCTCACCCTCACACGCAGAAGAAGAAAGAGCCATGCTCGTATAGTATACACTCATCTGTCAGTCAAGGCACGAGTAGCTTAAATGCGGCCAGAGTGATGAGGAGCGCCTCCTCGGTGCGGATTGTGCGGGAGGTCTGCCCCGGACACACATTGACGTACTGGTCGAACAGCTCGCGGGGGTCGCTCGCCGTCACATGCGCCTGCTCGTCCTCGACAATCTCCTCCAGCCCACCCAAACCACCAAACACTATCAGCAGATGCCTGCCACACACACACACACAGAGAGAGAGAGAGAATGATTACCACACACGGCGGCTCGGCTCCCCTCTCTGTCTACAAGAGGGTGGCCCCTCACTTGAACGGCGGCATCTGGTAGTCGCGTGTGAGCACATCCCCCCTCTCCGACGTGCCAATGGTGAGGTCATACCCCCCGCCCCCCGGGTCCAGTGGGCAGTGGGTGAAGACCTCCTGGAGGGACGAGGCGGCCCTTGTCTGGTAGCCCCAGTAGAGGCCCGCCCGCTGTGCCGGCTCCTGGGGGGACACCACAGTGCCCGTCACCGACCGCCGCTGGATCTTCGAGAACTGCTTGCTGCTACCGCTGCCTTTGGGGCCCGGGGCGTTGTCCTCGATGAAGGCCTTGGCCGAAGCATCAAGACGCACCGTCACCCTGACAGCCAACCGCCCGCACACAGCACACAGGCACGGTGTTAAGGCGCGTTGATTGGTGCCGTGCCTTACCTGACGCCCGGCTGTATTGCCTGCGTGACCCTGACCTTCTGGCCGCCGGCGAGGCCGCAGTCGACCCAGCTGCCCTCCACGTCTGACCCACCACTCTCCCTCACACCCTTCCCCGCAACAACCACGCCCTCCCTGAGTGTCATAAGAAACACACACACACACGCCCTCCTTTCAGCTGCGCTGCCCTGTGTGGTTTGCCCGCCCCGCCTGCCCAGTTAGATACTCTCATACTACCTGTAAGGCATCCAGTGGTGTTGCCTCATTTGGTGTGGCGCGTCGAGAGGGTTCTGCAGCCCGGCATACTTGAGGTCGGGGTGCATCGGAAACAGGGCCCGCCGGAGGTACTGCGGGCACTCGAGGTACTGCAGGTTGCAGCAGAAGAACGACAGCCAGCGGGACGGGCCGCCGCCACCTTCAGACACCGCCTTCGCTGAACGAACAAGCAGAGAGGAACCAACAGCCATCGACGTCTGTCTGGCTGGCTGGCTGGCTGTCTTGTGTGTCTGTGTGTGTGTGTGGGTAACTGTTGTGTGAGGTACCTGAATCTTCGTAAATGACCACCTCATCGACACCGAAGACCGTGAGGGCCCTGGCGATCTGACCCACCAGGTAGGCACGAAGCTCAAACGACTGAATCAATGAATCAAGACACAGACACACACCGAGAACTGACACGAGTGCCTGTGTTGTGTTGCTGGCGACCTGTGCGTTGGCCACAATGGACACGGGCAGCGCCACCGACACAGTCCGCAGCCTCGGAGGCGCCACGAAGGGCACGCCGTCGAGCAGCGATGCGTCAAGAGGCGGATAGCCATCCACACCCTCAGCCTCAGCCCTGCCCACCATCTTCAAGTTCTTCTTCCGCTGCTTGGCCCTCTGCTTAGTGACCTGTTGCTCTTGCCCTTCATTCCCGTCGTTCATGTGGTCCTCCCCGCCCCCATCGTCATTGAGAATATTGAGCTGAATGCCGTCGTCAAGTGCGTCGGGCTTTCGTTTCTTCTTTTGCTTCTTCTTAGGTGGTGCATCAGGCGCCTTGTGTGTTGGAGGGGGTGGCTCACTCCGCTCCGATAGATCCTTCGCCTGATGATTCTTCTTCCGCTTCTTGGGCGGTGGTGGTGGGGTGCGGTCAGCGCCTTGTCGGAGGGAGGTATCTGGCGCTGACAGACACAAAGACGCTCATGCAATGGAGCAAAGGAGTCAAGCGTTGTTTGTGTGCTCTCACCATTGTGTTCATCTTCGAGCGCTCTCCGTTTCTTCTTGGCCCTCTTGGCAGTGCCTGGAAGCTCTCCTTCCAAGTCCATCTTAGCAACCGACAAAAGATCCCTTGGTAGTCTACGTCTTGGTGCACCCCATCAGCTCCGTTTGGAGAGAAAAGAATGGATGCTGGGCAGTCCCCGATCCGATCGCTTACGAAAGGAGGTGGGCAAAAAGGTGAAGCGGAGTGATGCTTGTCCAGATCCCAAGGGTTGCAGATCTTGATGGCTGATCTACGATTGGGATGATCAGGACGCACACACGGATGCGGCAAAGGGTGGCGCTGGCGCTGATCTATGCTGTCTTGGCCTCTATGGCAAGCAAGACCACAATCACATCAACTGCAGCTGAGCATTCTCGCCAGCAGCACCTTCGTCTCGACGCCTTCCTTCATCGACCATGCACGAGAACCGGCGCCCCGTGTCGCTCGCTGCCATCCTCATCTCATCACCGCTGCAGGTCTTTGAGGCGGCTCCGGTCAGCCCAGCTCCCGCTCATCATGCAACAGCAGAGAGGTGACAGCGGTGCTGCGACGGTCGACGTCCGGGCCGCTGCCCTGGATCTGCGGTCTGGAGCTAATGGACGGGGCAGACAGAGGAGGACAAAGAAGACACCGGCGCGACGGCATTACACTGAGGCGACACCCAATGACGCTGAGCAGCCCAATGGTCAAGGGCCCGACCTGCACGCCCAGATGGGACCTGCAAAGAAGGGCGCGGAGAGCTCTCATGGCGCGCCCTCGCTGCCCCGTGTGCTGCAGCCTGACACCGAGACAACGGCCAGGCCGTCTGGCGTTGTCCGGTCGGAGAACGATGTGGTGGCAAGGATGGAGGCACTACTGGAGGACCAACCAGCTGCCGGCATGCAGAGGAAAGGTGATCGTGTGGGCGAGAGGGCGCAGCTGTTGCGGCAGCTAGTGTCGTTGGCTGTTCAGCAGCCGGCAGTGCTCAGCGGTCTGCTGCAGAGGCGCCAAGAGGATGGCGAAGGCGGGATGCTCTATCAGCTCATTGCAACGGTGGTGCACGGTGATGTGCCGGTGCTGGCGGCATCTGCCGCTGCTGATCCAGCGGCGATCGACACCCTCAACTCTCAGCTCCTGTCGCTCTTCGCCATTCAGCGGCAGATGGCCGCCGGCAGTGACACACCAGCAAAGCTGACGGACCTCTTGCAGCTGTTCTTTGAGCGAATGGCTGTGGTGTTTCTGGAACCATCGGTGCGGCGCGCATGCGACAGCGGCGCCCTTCTGAACGCCCTGTGGATCATCAGCGAGGCACACAAGGGGGGCAGCCGCACAGTGCACCATTGTCTGGTCACCGGCGTGAAGGAACTCGGTGAACGGGGCGACCCTGCCGTCAACAGCAGCCCGAAGCTCGCCCGAGTGAGCCAAGCCATCCAGGACCTCTCAGACGGCCCCCCTCGGCTGGCAGATGGTGTATCAGATGCACAAAGAGACCTGCAGGCGGTGGTGAGCGGTCTGATGAGTGCCGAGTCGACGTCGCATGGTGATCTGTACAAATGGAGGTCGCTGAAGCGGAGGGCCCCGCTGACGGCGTTGGATCGGCTTGTGAGCGGCAAGGCGCGCATGAGGGTGGAGGGTGGAGTGGATGCCGTGCAGCTGTGGGAACACATCGAGACCAACAACATCACCGCTGCGGTAAGGGAGGGAGTGGTGAAAGTGCGAGAGAGTGGAGGGACAGACGACCCATGGCATGGTTCTGTGCGTTTGTTGTTGCAGTCGTTGACACCCACTGGTCGCGCGCAGCTCTTGTGGATCCTTTCGCGAAGCTACCCCCAACCATGTAAGCACACAGCCGCACCTCATCCAATTCACGCCTCTCGTTCCATTTCGCTCTCTCACTTGCTAAATGACGTCAGGGCGCCATCGTCGGAAGCCGCCACCGTGGCTGATGCGCGCGTCCGAGGCCCTGGCAGAGCCGACCCTGTGGAGCAAGTCGGACCTCGACAGGGTGTCGCTCGAGTGGCTCGTCAAGGCGCTGGGCAGCCTCACCAGCCTCAGACCGTCACAAGACGACGCACTCACCATGCTCGGCAGGTCCGTCGATGAGGGAAGGCACGGCATGGAATGGAATGGAATGCATGACACACGCTCATCCATGCACCTTCTGCTCGTTTCTGAAGACATGTTCTCTCCCTCTGTTTGGTGCCTTCATTTAGGGAGATATCTGACCGGTTTACTGCTCGGCAGGCCGTTCTGGCTGGTGTGCCGGCAGACGGCGTGGCCGACCCCTCCTCGTATATAGCCGATCCCCGGCTGGTGCTGGAGCCCAAGACCCTTATCTACCTCGTGTGGGCCCTCGGCAACGTCGCGGAGGAGCTGCCGCACCTACTCGCCACCCGAGGCGACCCCACACTCATCACCCTCACCCAACAAGTCAGTGGGCTCTTCCTCTCCCACCCCGCCACACACACACAAGCAGCCTCCTCCACGCCGCCACCGCCAGCCGTGGCCGTGTTCCCCCTGTCGTCAAACATCGCCTCCAAGCAGCTGCCCGAGACCCCGCCCTCCCCCCCACCACACTTTGCCTACTCGTATGCAAGCGACCACTATGCGGTCGAGGCGCCCCCGGCTGTGTTCATTGGGCGGGCGGACCGGACGGCTGGTCGGCGTGAGAGGGCTCAGAGCGCTGCTGTGGGTGCTGGCGGTGGTGCTGGTGGTGGTGGTGGTGCGGTGTTGCGGCTACCGCCGTCGGCTGTCGTGAGCAGGCCGGAGGCACTGGGGATGACCGTTAACCTGGGGCACCTCAATGCTGGGTAAGCTACCAAAAGGCCAAACTGCAGACAGCCGACAGAGATGGGAACCGTATCTTTGGCTTGCTTCTTGGTTACAGTGACTTGACAGCTTGCATCTGGGCGGTGAATCGGATCGCCAGCATCGCCCACTCCCCCAGGAGCAATCTCGGGCAGCTCCCGTGGATGCAGCAATGGAACCAGGCACTGCTGAAGGTGAGTAATGAAACACATCAGCAGCCACCACTCACCATTCACTGTGTGCATCATTCAGTCGTTCCTGGACCGTTTCGACGACATGGGCCCGTCACACATCGCCAGGATCGCCTCGGCCATCGCCAAGAGCGGCATCGTCATCCAGCGGCCCTCAACCGCAATCTCTCAATCAGCTGACCGCCGCTCCAGGGACGCGCCTGTCCCCTTGGCGGCCATCTACCTGCCCATGGTGATAGAGCGGCTGCTGGTGCCCCACCCACACACACACCTCCACTCTGCGCGCAACAAGGCCAGCAGAGACAGGCTGAGTGACTTCAGAAGCGACCACCTGGGGCAGCTTTCCCAGTCGGTGGCCCGCTCGGGCATTGTCCACTCGGCATTCTACCGGCGTGTGGCTCAGGAGGTGATGCGCAACGCGGAAGTGTTCAGTGGCGACGTGCTGGTGCGCATCCTGCTGGGGCTCGCCAAGGCGCGTGTGGTGCACGAGCGGCTGCTCAAGGTCGCTGTGGGGGAGCTGCTGAGGCAGCAACACCCGGAGAATCGTCGGAAGTTGGATGAGCTGGACGGGAGCGCGTTAAGCGACCTGCTGTGGTCCGTTGCCCAGATGTCGAGGCAACTCTTGGCCGAGCAAGAGGAGCGTGCATACGCAGCCAAGTGGGCCTCCGGGTACGGTGGTTGTGGAGGTGGCCCCACCACCCCAGCCGACACATCAGCAGCTGTGGCCGTGAGGGAGCTCTGTGCTGAGGTGTTCAGCGAGGTGTCCCGCCGGCTGGCAGCCCCTGACCACCCTGCTTCACTGTCGCTGTCGTCCTTCCCCTTCTTCTCCCTCGTCAACCTGCTCATCGCCCACGGCATCGCTCTCCAGGCGGGCGCCATCAAGATGGTCTCCGCTGCCGGGGACATGACCCTGGCCTTATGTGCATCGGTTGCGCGAGAGTGCGCCGGACGGCTGGGGGACTATCTGCGTGTGCTTCGGAGGCGGCGGGCGGCCGCTCGGGTGAAGCAGCGCGGCAATGGGGGCGGGATGGAGGCTGCGCTGCGGGTGCAGCTGATGAGGAAGGAGAGGCAGCTGAGCGGCAACCTCATCCGGCGCCTGCTATGGGGCTACAGGATGATCTTCGCACAACTCATGAGGGCTGACGCTCGTGACCCTTCCTCCCTGCCCCCTGCATCGGCTCTGGGTCTGGCGGCAGCAGAAGATGACGTCGAAATGCTCGGCAACTTGCAGCAGGAGACCACCCCAGGCGGCACCGTGATGACCCGCCGGAGGAGGAAAGAGGACAAGTTCTTCGGCCCCATTCCTGTCCCATCGCCTCAATCATTGCAACACGAAGGAAAACCTGGGCGAGTGGCGCAGCTCCTCACCGCCTCGAGCCACAGGCAGTGTGCCAGTGACGTCAGCCAGCTGCTGGCCGCCGTGGTGGATGTGGTCAAGGCTGCCTCATGGACAGACCTCAGGCGGGCGATGGCAAAAAGGAGGCGCGACGGAAGGAGGAGTGAGGGCGAGGCAGGGAGGCAACAGAGGCCCAAAGGTTCTGGTCAGGCGCATCAAGTCGCTGCTAGTGCGTCCCGGCCCTCTCTCTCTCCTTCCTCCCCTCCCGGCGATCGGCCCTGCCTCTTCCCACAAATGGACGGCCCCACTGGTGAAGACAATGGTGGCCCGGCTGCCGGTGCCGCGTCATCATTCGACACCTTCACCCCTGTGCCAAAGAGACCGCCACAGCAGCAGCAGCAAAAGTCGGGAGGAGGGTGCCTGAAGGAGTCCAAGGTGGTCGCATCGGACACCACCTTTACACATGATGGAGGACAGCCGTCGCCCTCACTGGTGACAGACGACGAGTGCTGCACCACTACCAACACGCACGACGACATCTCTTCTGCGGGGAGTGCGACTGGCGTGTCGGGAGCAACACCACCCGACGCGACCCTCACATCGCCCCTGTCGCTCTTCCGCCTCTCGCCGCAGGTCGGCTCCCGCCTCGTCTATGCACTGGCATCACTCAGCGCCCAAATTGGTGGCGAGGCCACCGCCGGTGCCGATGACACATCCAGAAAAGTCGAGGAGAGCAACGGGACGGCTAACGCTACGGCACGGTCCATCATCGACTCGGCCTTCTGGAAACTGGCGGAAGCGGTGAGGCAACCCGTGAGCCATTCATGGTGTGATGCTGTGATGTGCTGTGCTGTTGGCCCCACACAATGTAATGTAGGCCTTCTCTGCCCCTTGCGACGAGGGCGCCATCGGGCCCCAGGAGCACCAGCTCCTGCTGAGCGCATTTGCAGAGGTGAGCGGACTCACGCAGCATACTCCTCCTCTCTCACTGTGTGTGTCTGTCTGTCTGTCTGTGTGTCAGGACGGTTACCTGTACCGCCCGCTGCGGCTGCTGGAGTCCATAGGCGACCAATTGAGTGCACCAGAGCACATCGAGGTGGGTGGGGGCCGGGCGATGAGTGCACTGCACACAGTGTGATCTTTCTTTCTTTCTCTGCTTCTCTGTGTGCGCTTCCTTCCCTTCAGCAATTGCCGTCGACTGTTCTGGCCTCGACATTCCTCTACTTTGGCCGATTCGGTCAGCCAGCCGATGGATACCCGCTCCACAGCACGCCGCACCGCATGGACTTCCGCCTGTGTGTGTCTGTCTGTGTGTGTGTTTGTGTTTGTTCCAACCATCCATCCATCCATCAGGGTACAACCACCATGGTCTGTTTCTGGCGCTGTCCGAGGAGCTGCTGCGGGACGGGGGGGCGCGGATCAAGGAGCTGTCCAGCACACACCTCTCATGGGTCCTCTTCGCATGTGCATGGAACGCTTACACAAACCAACGACTCATCGGGTGCGCTGCCGCGCTGACCCACACACCCATACACACACACTCATCCATGCCATGCACCTCACCTCGTGCTGCTCTTGCTGTGCTGTTCGTCCAGTGCCATTCTACTGGAGATCCGTCGTCGGCTCAAGGCCGACATAGTGCGTCACGGCGTGCCTGTCAACTTCGCCGCGTCCGACTTGGCCACGATGGCGTGGAGTGCGGCCGTCCTGGGCGTCTACGACCGGGAGCTGTTCGGCGTCATCCTCAACCTTGACTGGAGCCAGGCTGACCCCAACACTGCCAGACTGGTGGGCCACTCACAATAGAGAGACACACACCGAACCACGCGATGGTGCTCTCTCTCTCTCTCTCTCTCTCAGGTATTTGCGGCCCATCTTGGGTTCCAGATAGAGAAGGCCGGTGCAGCCGACGATGAGAAGGAGAGTGTCCGAGTGGGGCGGGGTGGGGGGCTGGGGGTAGGCCAAGGGGATGTGTTGGCATCGTCGGTGGGGTTGCGTCGTGGGTCGCTGCAGCACTGCCAGTACCACTTCCTCAACCCTCTGCAGCGCCAGTACCGCTTCCAGGAGGTGCACCAGGACCTCGAGAAGACACTCAGATCACTCGGTCAGGCCACCCAGACACACACACACACACACAGAGACAGAGAGAGAGAGGGCTTGACGTGGATGGCCTGTTAGTCCCGCATATGTGTTGATGTGTGCGCATCGCATCGATGGTTGGATGGTGCAGGTCTGACGTTTGTGCCTCAGTACGTGACCCCCGAGGGCATCACGGTGCACTTCGCAATGCCCGACAGAAAGATAATCATCGGTCAGCGAGCCACCTGCCAGCCGATGGACACACAGCAGCTCATCCTTGTGTTGTGTGTGTGTGTTTGTGTGTGTCCATGCAGAGGTGGAGAGCCACAGCCACCTGATACGGCACTGGGACGAGCCACACTGGCGGCGGAGTGGGGCCGTCAGGTTCGGGGAAAGACTACTCAAGTACGTCAGCAATGGCTGGCCCCACACACACACACGCACGCACACGCGTCCATCCATCTCTTCCCTTATCAGGCGCTGTGGTTGGAGCATCATTCGAGTGCCGTGGAATACGCTGCACGAGGCCAAGGCGTCGATCAGCGAGAAGCAGCGGTACATCACCGAGAAGCTCTGCGACTTCTGCATGGCGCAAATCAAGAGACCCACTTACCACTGACCCCCTCACACACCCGGCCCACCACCACCTGCCGGCACTTGGCGGTTGTGAGTTTGGGCAGCATGGTGACGCTGGTGTTCTTCATGTTCGAGGCGCTGTGGCTGGCCATCCTCATCAACGAGCGGCCCAACTGCCGACTCTCGGCCGTCCCAACGCTCTGCCACACCTGCACGTATGGACACTCAGACGGAGGGAGGGCATGACTCTGTGTGTGTGTGTGTGTTGTCAGTCTGGTGTTCTTCACGACGCCCCTCATCGCCGCGGCAGCCGCACTCTTCGTCGGTCAGACTCAACGACACGACTCACACAATCCACACACACCAGTTGCCCCTCTCTCTCTCTCTGTGTGTCTGTGTGGTGTGGTGTGCAGCTCAGCGGGCATTTCTGATGAATCGGCTCTTCTACGAGTTGCTGAGACGCAAAGCCGTCCTCATCGTCAGCAAAGGTAAAGGCAGCCACACACACTCAGACAGACAGACACACAGTCGTCAACACAGATATCTCCCTGTGTGTGTGTGTGTGTTGGTCAGCCATGTGGGTGCCAAGGTCCCCGAGCTGGAGGGAGGAGACTTCTGAGACCAACACGGCAACCAACACAACCAACTGACGATGCAAATGCGCAGACTGACTGATGAAAAATTGACGGAGGGACACGCAAAGACATGAGTGAATGAATGAATGAATGCAATCAAGCGCCGACCAGGCTGACTGCTCCGTTGAATGGGATTCCTGGCGGCCGTCACCAACACACCTCCGAACACGCAAAGCACAACCTCACACCCACACACCCACCCCAAACTAGAGAGCAACTGCCGTCGAGATTCGCGATAGGGTTTGGCCCCCGAGACGTCTCTCCCCCCATTCCCTCCTTCCTTTCCAGCGCCCTCTTGTGCCTGCGATCGACGTATTCCGAGAAGGTACCCACACACGCGCGCAGGGCACATCCATGGTATGGCATGCATCAAGTTGTTGTGCCACGTGATTTCCAGATCTCCTCGTTCTAGACCCTCCTTCAGCCGTGGCGCGATGGCGGACGACAGGGACGCTCTGATCAAGCAGCTCCAGGCAGACCTGGAGACCAAGAAGGCAACCAAGGCTCGCCGGGAGGAGGAAGACGCCAAGGACGCCCTGATCAAGAAGCTCCAGGCAGATCTGGAGACCAAGAAGGCAACCAAGGCTCGCCGGGAGCGCCAAGGACGCCCTGATCAAGAAGCTCCAGGCAGATCTGGAGACCAAGAAGGCAACCAAGGCTCGCCGGGAGGAGGAAGACGCCAAGGACGCCCTGATCAAGAAGCTCCAGGCAGATCTGGAGACCAAGAAGGCAACCAAGGCTCGCCAGGAGGAGGAGGAGCGTCGGCGTCAAGCAGCTCGCATCAGGGAGCTCGAAGAGGCCAACCGCGCGGCCTACCGTGCGGCCTACCGCGAGGAGGCCAAGGATGACCGCATCCGGGAGCTGGAGGAGAGATTGAGGACCGAATCTCGAACGGACATCGCCTCTGGTATTCGAGGAGTGGTCAGGCAGTCGACGTCGGTGGACCTGGTGGCCATGATGGACTGCACGGCGTCGATGGAGTCGTGGATCGCTGAGGTAGCTACATGTACAAGGAATAACCGGCACACAGCGCATCTGACGGGTGGTATTGTTGATGCGTGCAGGCTGCGCGTGCGTTGTGCTTTATCATCGGCGACGTCAAGGAAAAGTTTCCCGCGCTGGCCTACCGTGCGGCCTTCGTCGGATATCGTGACTACAACGATGGCGTCATGCGCGTCGAGCGGCTGTCCATCGCGCCATTCACATCCGACATTGCCAGCGTGCAGGCACACATAAAACGACAAGGAGCGATTACAGGGGATGCCCCTGACGGTAGGCAGGCTGAAGGGGTGGTGCCAGAACGGGGTGCATCTGACCTGCGTTATGACGGTGCAGAGCCAGAGGATGTTGCTGGCGCGATGAGTGCGGCTCTGGGCCTCGATTGGTCGTCCATGACGCGTTTGGTGATTCATGTCGGTGACGCCCCACCACACGGTGTTGCCTACCACAACTACGGCGCCTCGTGCGACAAGTTAGACACAGCCACACGCACACACACACCTACACCCACACCCACACAGCGTGGACCTGACTGCACTGTGCGCTTTAGCTTCCCACATGGGCACCCGGATGACACCAAGATTGAGACCCTCGCGGCGTCGTTTCGCGAGCACGGCATCCAGTACGGCTTCATCAAGATCAACAACTCCACTGACAAGTTCCTCGGCGTGCTTCGCGAGCACTACGAAGGCGCTGGCATGCCCTTCAAGTTGAATGTGGTGGAGCTCGGAGGCGACTACACGGCTTTCCAACCCAACGTCTCGCGAATGGTACAGACACAAAGGAAGGACACAGGCACACAATAAATGCTCATCTGTCTCAATCTGTTGTGCAGTTGAAGGACAGTGTGACTTCGACCTTCAAGCGCATGAGTCGCAGCGATAAGGCGTCCATGAAGGCACTGCCCCTCGCTGTCGGGGGCAAACTCATCGGTACGCAGGCCGTGTGTGCACGCACAGGCACAGCGTCTGTCCGTGTGATCCAGGTGGTCTCGGCGCGATTGCAGAGGAGGATGAAGAGGAGGAGATGCGCAATCTCGAGGTCGAGAAGAAGCCGCCAAACTGGGACAGACTTGGCGATCGGGTAGGTGAGAGGGATGCATCCCACGCACACCGACCCTGCCTGATTTGATTTTCCGGCGCCAGGTCGAGCGCGCTGTGCGTCACACGTACCATTTCCGGGGTGGCGACAAGGCTCTTTCGGTGCTCGAGTGGGAGGAGGTCAACGGATCATTCTCCTCGTCCAAGTCGGACACCACTGTGCGCATCTCCAAGCACCCATTCGACAAGGGCGGCATGCGATACGCGTCCTACCTCAAGTGAGCAGGCTTAATAGGGAATTAGTGAGTCCCTTGAATGCGCCATTCTGCTCTCACTCGCGTATCAGGGACATGGACCTGGACCTCAAACGGGTTGGTGGATACACACGCATACGAAGCGCAGAAAACACTATTGTTGTGTTGTGTTGCGTGTCTATCTGGCTGTCTGGCTGTCTGGCTGTCTGGCTGTGTGTGTGTGCAGGTAGCGAAGCTGCCTCTGGAGGTGCTCGAAGGCGGCCGCCTAGAGGCCTACGCCAAAGCCGACATGTGCACGCAGGCCGTGTGCAAGCTGCTGGCCAAAAAATTCAACATGCAGACGCTCGAGAAGGGCATCAACCGCATGGTCTCGTTCATCGACGTCGGTACGTGGAGCGATGACATACATACACATACACACACACAGAGACACACACATCTGGCTTGCCAGCCGTGTACGAGTTTCCTGACCGGCCGGACGCGGAACGCTGGATGACGGTCGAGCCATACATCGAGGGAGAGGTACGGACGCGCACAGAGCTGACACCGACCACACCCAGTCGCATGCCCCCACCGCGTTGTCACTTCCCTTGTCATCTGTCAGTACAAGAAGTTCAGCAACAACAGCGGATGGGCGTCCAACGAGGCGGGCGCCGAGCTGGCTGCATCCTTCAGCCACTGGACACACCACGAGACGGGCGGCTTCCTCATCGCTGTGGACATTCAAGGCGTCGGCAATGTGTACACCGACCCTCAGATTCATTCCAAGGTGAGCCAACTCACACACACACACACGCACACACGGCTGCCCGCGCATCCTTCTCTCTCAGCGTGGTGCTATGTTTGGCGAGGGAGATCTCGGCAGGAAGGGCGTGGAACACTTCTTCGCCACACACACGTGGGAGGGCCACATGACACTGTTCCTCCAACGTGCCACTCATTTTGGATTGCTTCTCTTGTCAGGTGCAATGAGGTGTGTCGCAAGCTGGGCCTCGTGCACCCAGACCCCGAGGCGGCCGCCCGGATGGAGGCCGCCATGCGAGCGGCCCTCGATGACACGGCGATTGGCGAGGAGGAGCTGATCGAGGTGTTGGCCATGGACGGCACACCGGGATCGGACATGCAGATATGCTGCGAGCTCTGTGGATGCATCTTCGTGGTGGGCGGATGACGGGAGGAGTGGTGCGAAATGTGTCCTTATCCTCTCTCTCTCCCTCTGTCTGTTTGTGTGCGTGTGTGTGTGCGTGCAGGTGACCGATCGAGACAAGTACATGAGCTTCCGGCGACAGGGCAAGGACTTGTCCTGCAACACGTGCCGCGACAATTGCCGCCGCGACAAGACCCAGGTGGCTTGCTCGGAGTGTGGCAAGAGGTTCCCCGTCAACCTGCATTTCTACAGGATGAAAGGCATGGACCAGCCGAAGAAATGCAGGGACTGCAAAGCCAAGAGGGGCGGGCGCACACGTGACTGACAGAGGGAGGGGGGAAGGGCTGGGTGGTCTGTGTGACTGCATGTGCTGTCTGTCTGTCTGCGTTTTGACTCGTTTACTTCTCTGCATGCCCTTCGTGAGTCTGCACTGACTGATCGGTTGGCTGACAGATGCTGTGTGTTTGAATGAGTCTGCGTTTTGTCTGTTTCTCGTCTGCGTCTCACCTATCTGCCGCCTTTATCGAATGCCGTATTCCCTGTTCTGGATCACTGAGTGCCCGTCGCTCCTGTCCGACCCTTTGCGTGGTGCGTGTGCTGTTGGTGCTGCATTACATGATTGCCTGCGTTCTCTTCCATGTTAGCGAGAGGTTTTCACCACTCTGGTCCAGGCAGCTTTCATGCCTTTCATACCGTCTGCCTGGACATATCTCACATCTCTACTGCTTGCTGATGATGCTAAGCGTGTCTCTGACTCTATGAGCTGGTCTGTGACTCAATGTGCCAGCTGTCTGCGTTTTTATCGCTGCCTTTGTGCTGCTCTGCTCTGTGCTGGCTGTCTGCTTTTTGACTCCTTTATTCTCTGCCAGCCTTTTGTGAGTCTGCACTGACTGACTGACCGATCGATGGGGGTGCGGGTAGGACCTCATGGACTCTGGTTTACTTCTCCCTGAATCGACTTCATACGTGAGATGCTGGAGTGTCGCGTCATACACCATCGTTGCTCAACTGTGACGATGCCACAAACAAGGATGATTTGTGAGCCAGGCAGCAGGCAACAAACGAGGAGAGAGATGCTACAAGTGCACACCATGCACACCCACAGACCCACAGTCGTCAGTCAGTCACCAACTATGCAATGTGCTGAAATCTCGCTCATGGGCTCATCAATCCACTCTTTACCGACGAAAGAGATGTCGACACACGCAAGTCCCTTTCGACTACCTGCACACTTTTCACATGCACGCCGCCGATCTAGATCCATCATCATCACGTCGTGCATGGCCATACATGGATCCACGCATCAATCAGCCGGCAGCTGGTGGGGGCGGTGTCTCGGTCTTGGTGTCTGCCGTCTCTGCCGGTGTCGTGTGTGACATCTGATTGAGGATGCGCGACAGCTCGGGGCACGGACGCCGCAACACATCTGCCTTCGCTCCGAACTGCGCCACCTCACCGTCAGACAACACCTGCACACGTGCAAACAGCGTGTCACATCCGATCTGTGAGTGCATGTCCCTGCCAATGTCACACACTCACCGCGATGTATTCGGCGAAGTCCAGCGTGCTCAGTCGGTGGGTGATCAACAGACACGTCCGGCCCTTCATCGCCTGCACAGACAGACAGCACGATGGCGCCCCAATGCACTGTCGGCGGCTGGAAGGGCTGCCTACCTCTTCGAGTGCGGTGTGGACGAGCTTCTCGGATTTGTTGTCCAGTGCAGATGTGGCCTCGTCGAAGAGCAGCATCGGGGGGTCGCGGATCAATGCGCGGGCAATACACACACGCTGCTTCTGACCACCTGTGTGCAGCAAAGATAAGACACACACAGGGGTGGGGGGCGGTCTACTGCATGCCCTGTCATCTCTGTTTTCATCTCACCTGACAGTGCCTGTCCCCTTTCCCCGACGAACGTGTCGAGTTTGTCGGGCATCTGCTCCACAAAGTCAGCCACATGCGCCGCACGCAACACCTGCACACATGCAACAACGGGAACAACCATCCGGTGGGGCCATTCCACGGCCGCTGGATCGCCACTCACCTTGTCAAACTCTGTTCTCAGCTGGGGCGTCAGGTGCTCGTGTGAGTCGTACTGAGGCTTCCTCTTCGACCGCGGCCTCTCGATCCGCATGCTCTCCAGATCCTGCAGACACGACACACACACACGGACACGACGCACACCCTCAGGTGTGGCGTAAGTGACATCTGTCGGTGTGGGTGGCCGGCCGTACCGATTGGTCTCTCATGTAGTCCATTTCGGCGAGTTTGCCGTACAGCACGTTGTCGCGGATACTCAGAGCAAACAAAATGGGGTCCTGGTTCACCACACCGAACTGCCATGCACCCATCAACACAGGACGGCAGCAGGCAACAAAGGAAGGGTGCATCGGTTGGTGTGCCGCTGGACAAGAGTGCAGGAGTACCGACCTGTGCGCGCACCCATCGTGGGTCGCAATCCATGAGCGAGTGGGGGCCCAGGAAGACCTTGCCGCTCGTCGGCGGGTACAGGCGCAGCAGAATCTGAGCCAGCGTGCTCTTCCCGCTGCCACTCTCACCTGCACACACCAACAGCACCATTCACACACACCTAACGCCCCTTGCCCCCCTTCCCCCGTGTCCCGCCTGACCGAGCACGGCAAGTCGGCTGCCGGGAGGTATGTCGAGTGTCACGCCCTTGAGCACTTGCTGGTCGGGCCGCGAAGGATAGCTGAAGCACACATCCTCAAAACGGATCCGCGGCTCGTAAGGGACAGTTTCGAGGGCCACATCCGCCGAGTCGCGCAGCGACATATCCGGGGAGTCACGGAGCACCTCAACCGATGGGAAGGGCGCCTGCTGCTCGGCTTCTCTCGCCGATGATGGTCTTGGTGTTGGTGTTGGAGCTGGTCCTCTTGGTGGTGTATAGGGCTGTGAGAGCTCTGTCTGTGGCTGGTTGATGATGTCCATGACCTTGTGGCACGCGCCGAGAGCCTTCTGAAAGTCGCCGTAGGCTGAGAGGACGCCCTGGTAGCCGCCGCCGGTCATGAGGCAGTACATGGCCAGGGATGTGGTGTCGCCAAGGGTGATCAGACCTGACAAAGAAAGAAGGTTGGACGGCTTGGGTGAGTGTGTCGTCTGTATTGGCTTGGCTGACTGAGGTACCTACCTTGTGAGATCATGGTGCCGCTGAGGTATGTGAGGTGGAGCAGGAAGAGCCCTCCCATGGTGTAGAAGATGAACACACGGCCTCCGGTGGCGTAGGCGTTCTTCAAAGCCAAACTGTACACGTAGTCCAGCTGAACACACACAAACACACAAACGCCACCATCACCAACATAAGTGACATCTCATGTGGTTTGCTGCGGCCGGCTTCCTGACGTTCTTCCTGAAGTTTCTGATCTCGTGCGCCTCTCCGTTGAATATGCGGACGGTTCGGATGTTGCTGATCTTCTCCTCGGCCGTCTGGATGCAGTCCGCCAAAGCATCCTGCTTCCTCACTGATATGTCACGAACGTACCTACACCAGACCCACCATTCGACACCACAACGGAACACACACGTCCTTGTGCTTGTGCTGCTTGATTTCTGTCATATACGGGCGGGCATACCATACCGGCCATAGGCGAACGCGCCGAGGAATGTGAAGGCGACAGGGCCCAGAAGGGTCGTCACCAGGTGGGAGGGCGCCAGGTAGAATATGATGCCGGTGCCTGCACAAGCACACCACACACCATACCATCAGCTGACAGACAGATCCCTCTACTGCCTGTTTGTTGTGTTTGTTGTGTTTGTTTGTCACGTATACCTACAACGGATGTGATGAGGTTCCGGAGACCGAACGATGCCTCGATGAGGATGCGGCTGGCGATCGTGATGTCACCTGAACCAACCACCCACCCACCACCCATCCACCACCCACCGACTTGTATGGTATGACGGGACGCTGCATGCATGTGTGTGTGTGTGAGTGTACCCGAGATACGGTTGATCAGCTCGCCGGTGCGGTGCGTGTCAAAGAAGTGGGTGTCTTGCCGCATCACCTTGCCAAACAGCTCGTGCCGCAGCCGCAGTGCTATCCTCTCTATCTGTGACTCACACACCATATACAGACAGACCTCCATCGACAGGTGGGTGCATGTGACGTGTGTGTGTGCGGATCTGCGCACCGCCGTCTCGAGCAGGAAGATGCGTATGAACGAAGCAATAGCTCCCAGGATGACCACACCCCCACACAGCAATGCCTGGTCGGTCACGAACTGCAGCCCCACAGCCGGGTCGCCAAACAGATCCATCACATGACCAATCAGCCGCGGAAATGCCAGGGTTGCTGAAGACGACACGAACAGCGCAGCTGAACACACACACACACCCCATTCATCACAGGCGGTGAATACTGCTGCGCGCTGTGTGTGTGTGAATGGCCCACCGAGTGCGCCGAGGAGGCGGGGCCTTTCGGGCTTCAGGATCTTCCACAACTCCCTCAGCGATGTGCGGGGGCTGTCTCGCGAAAACAGTTCTCGCAGGAAGGCCATCGCCTCACTCCTGTCGTCACTTTCATCGCTCTTTCGGCCGCCGCCCTTCTCATCTTTCCTTTTGTCCGCGCTGCCCTCCGTCTGCTGTGCTGCCGACGGCCGCTCAGCCTGCCGCATAAAATCTGAAAAGAAGGCTGATGACGATGCCCGCTGCTGCTGCTGCTGGTGAGTTGTTGTGTCTGAGGTGCTGCTGCGATGTTGCTTGTGGCTGGAGGGATCTGCCGATGAGAATTCTCTCCTGCATGAGTCGGCACGCGGCTTTGCCGACGCACCGACGCGTTTAGAGAGGCAGATGAGTGCTCCGCGGGAGGCGGGCTGCCGAGGGAAAAGGGCTGCATGGCGTGATAGATGGACCGCTCGGAACATTGCGTATTATGAATGCTGCCCAGCCTCACCCTATTTCGACGCCATTTCTTTCTTCGTCCTCCCCCCTCTGGAAGCCTAGCTCGCAGATGAGTTAGTGCCGACAGAAACCGCCACTGCTGAAGTTTTGCAACCTTTTGGACGGAAATGGTGAGCTTCGGGCATCTCCACATCACCACAGAGCCTGCGGAAGGGCCCAGTTGATCAGCTACATGTATATCTCCTGTTCCTGTGGTTGCTGTGTGTGTGTGCAGGCGACCAACGGTGAGTTCGTGGCGGACAACCCCAATCCGACAGTCTACTCCAGCAGTGCGTCGGGCGCGACGCCATCCAGCAAGGACCTGACATCCCTCTCCCTCGCAACCTTCCTCAACCTGCTGAACGAGGCGTCCAGTGGGCAGGGCAGTGCCGACGATGGCCATCGCGCCACAACAGTTGGCAGCGTGAGCGGCGACTCGTCTACTGCGCCGTATGATGACTTTGATGATGAGGTGAGAAAAGGGACATGATGATTGATGCGGCTGTGGTGTGCTGGTTGGCACACGTTTGGTGTCTTGAGTGCAGGAGGTGTTTGAGTTGCTTCGTCACTTGAATGACCCCGAGCACCCGCACACACTGGAGCAGCTGCGTGTGGTGCAGATGGATCACATCAAGGTCGACAACGACGAGCAGCACATCTCTGTCCAGTTCACACCAACCATACCACACTGCTCACAGGTGGGTAGGGGCAGGCAACACAGAGACACACGCCAGTGCCACCGCGCAAATTGACAGTCTGGACGCGCTCTGTCTGTCTGTCTGTCTGTCTGTCTGTCTGGTGTGCATGCAGGCCATGTTGATCGGGCTGATGCTTCGAGTCAAGTTGCTCCGGTGCGTACCCGACCGGTTCAAAGTGGACGTGTCGATCTTCCCAGGCAGCCACAACACAGAGGACGCCATCAACAAGCAACTCAACGACAAAGGTAATCCGCTCATCTGATTGATCCACATAGATACAAAGTGGCTGAGGGTTGCCTGCCTCTGCCTGGCTGTTGTTGCTGTGCAGAGCGTGTTGCAGCGGCCCTCGAGAACCCGGCTTTGTTGAGCGTCATCAACAAGGGCACCGCACACACGGACCAGTGGGAGAGCGTGCTGGCACATTTCTAGGCAGGAGGGAGCGGCCGGTCACTGGGGCATTCATTGGATGTGCTAGTAGGGGTGGGAGGAACGCTGCTGCCGAGTTTTTGACGCGGCTGACTGTTGCATGGCTGCACGTTGCTGTCTGCTTGCTGCGTGCCGACATTGTCATGGTCTCTCGTGTTGTCAACATGTCCTCGATTCAACAGCAGTAATCGCATCGAGATCATGGAAGCACTGATAGATGTCCGCCAAGCCCGCACTCTCCATCCGTCTAGCCAAGTCCCGCTCGCTGTCAGCCTCACCAAAGTCGCCGAAATGCCGACGAGTGATGGCAACCCTGACCCTCATCACGGCCTGCTGCCACCTCAGCTGCTTGATCTCTCTCACCCACTGCTGCACACGCGCCTCTTCGCCCTCGATAATGACGCGCCCCGGCTTGCCGAAGAGATAGACGCCTGTCAAGCCGTGCTCATCTGCCAGTGACGTGATGGCGTCCTTCTTTCGTGCGTTGTAGATGTGATGGAAATGCATGGCCACCAGCTGCAGAGCTGCTGACGACGATCCAGTTGAGAGATGCCGGACAGCCGTGCGAATGGGAAACATCGACTGCATCAGATGCGAGACGGCCGGGCGCGAGGACATGATAGACACCATCTTGAGTCAGTCAGTCAGTCGGTCAGTCGTTTTGGTTGGGTGCGAACACGCGTGCGACGCGGTGGAAGGCACGTCTGAGCGGCCCCTCTTGATTCATGGTATCGGCATCTGAACCAAGCAATGAAAACAGCCAAGAGGGGGCGATATGCATACAATACATCTCATATCCGTCTCACTTGTCTGGGCGTTAGACGGTGTGGTGGTGGCCATGGCAGCCTGATAGGCAGCGTCAGTGGGCCATGGCGCCATCTGCTTGATGACGATAGGGTTGAAAGGGTCTTTGGAGCTCCCCTGTGCGCCAAACACCTCGGCAATGGTCTGGCTGTCCTGCGCGTCCTCGTGACCGACGAAGACCACATCAGTCAGCTCCGTGCCCCACCTGACAAGGGGAATCAAGACACGTACACAAGACACATACAGTACGTCCGTACACACCGCATCCCATGATGATATGAGTCAGTCACTGACAGGCAGCTGCCTACCAGATGGCTCCAGTGCCGTCGAGGAGCAGCATCTTGAGGTCTCTCACGGTTCGCAGGCCCTCCGTGGAGTAACCCTCCATGGCCTCCAAGCCTGATCTTGGGTCCTCGCTCGAGGGTTACTCACCTTCGCACTCGCCACCTGCAGGCAAAGAAAGAGAGTTGAAGCGCACCGATAGCAAGGGACCTGCCAATCTTGATAGCATCGTCCCACCTGCATCCATGACGCACGCGGCGCGTGGTCGGCGGTTCCTCGTTGGCTAAAGGTTTCACAGTAGCCATAAATTCGCGTCTGGCTGAAGTGGGAATGGCAGGTGCACACATCTCACCATGCAGACAAATAGGTAGCATCTATCTATTCACACACCCACCCACCCGCCCACAGGCATGTGATTGTCGGGGCTCGCACAGAACTCTGCCTGCTGCCGCGTCCCGAACCATCTATCTCTCTATTGGTCTGTATTGCTCCCTCCCTAAGCTCCTTTCCCCCTCCTCCTATGCCGCAGCAAGCTTTGGCCCGTACGCTGCTCGCCGCCCTCCTGGCTATCGGTCACCTCTGTGGTGGTGGTCCGTGACGCGGTGGCCGTCCGCTGCGGCCCACTGGTGTCGGTGAGGCCCAGCGCATTGCAATGGAGGTGCCGCACTGTCGACAGCCACAACAGGATGTTGTCGGGCGTGTACTGGACACACACACACACACACACACGCACGCATCAATCAAATGGGTCTTTTCTCTTTGTCGTCGGTTCGCCTTCCTGCCTACCGTGTGTCGTAGTGAGTGGCCGTCGTGTGTAACCATCTCCAGCCTGGCGACCACCCCCTCCCTCGGCGGCGCGCTCGCGTCAACTATCTCATACTCGTCGTAAGGCACACCCGACGCGTCCCTCTTGGCACCGCCTCCACCTTGATGCAGCTCGGCGCCGTCCTCTCTGCCCTTGGCACCCGCCCTATCGTCGCTGACAGCACCCGGTGGGGCTGTGGGGTCCCCTGCTGACTCGCTGGACAGCTTGCAGATCTCGATGCGACGGCAAGACTCCTCCATGGACGTTATCAACCTGGGAATCACACACACCACACACCCACACGAACAGATGGAGAGGGGCGTGGGGCGAGGGATGCGATGCGATTGGTGAAGGTTTGCTGCTGACTTGAGTGAGTGTTCCACAGGGACGGTTTCGTCTTTCGATGCGTGCACGACGAGGGTACCCTCTGAGGGCGGGAGGCCTGCACGGCACGAAACCACCCATACATACATACACTGTACACGCTCACACCTGACTTCCTTGCGCGTGCCGAGCCGCGGCCGTGCAGTGCCTTTCGCGTACCTATCATGTCTGCTGCGCTCGAGTGGAGGAGGGGGCCCACGACGCCCTGAGATGGGGAGAAGAGAATGTTGGCACTGCCCGCGAAGCATCCAGCAGCTTTGCCGTACAGCAGCACCGCGCCACCTGAGCATTCAACAAGAGCAAAATCAATGCCGACTCCCCATCTCATCACAGTCCCACGTCCGTTGACGCTCCTACCAAACGAGCTGGCGATGATGACGTCGTGCTGGTGCGTTTGGAAGGTCTCCTGGGCGATGCGAGTGGCAGCCGACACCATGGACCGCACCAGAAAAGCGCTCACTCGCTGGCAGGACCACCATACCATCCACACATATGCCCGGTAGACGGTGAGCTTCAGTCGCAAGGAGAGGGTCCACGTGGACGCCACGACCCCGATGAACGACACCGCCAGCAACACCGCCGTCACCTGCAGCGTGCGGCAGCGCTTGAGATCGAAGAAACGGCTCAGTCCCAGATCAGGCGCGTCCACATCATAGCCCAGCTGCCGGAGGAGAGTTGGCCTTCTGCCGCTGGGACCATCCTAAGGACAAGGAAAGAGAATGCATCCATGAATTGTGATACTGGTGCAGTGCATCAGCTGAGGCAGATCATATGTACAAACCTCCATGCCGTGGAGATAGAGAATCCTCATGTCGTTCTCTATCCTCTCTTCCCTGAGGGGCCGATTCCGGTAGATTCTGGGGCCCAAGGGATCTGCGACCTGAGCGTGTCGGCGAAACCGTTACAGCAGCAGCAGCAGCTCCAGATCAGCCGAGGAGCTGCCAGCCATCGAAAGTCCATTGCAATGGAGTTGTTGCTTGCGATGAAGGTCATCCGCAACCCCCTCTCACGGCGAGAGCAGGAAGGTCCGTTACATTACACGAGCTCATGAATGCATTCCAGGCATTGTGGCGATGCACCATAGATCTGGCACAACACAATGATCATCGTCTTCTTCTCTTCTCATGCAATGTGCATGCAATGTGCATTCGATGCCACCTTCCTTACACCGCAGTCAGCCCATAGCTGTGTTTTGCCTCCTCCTGCCGTCCCCTGATATGATAAGTGGCTGGAAGGGGCCTGTCTGCAGTGGTGGGCGCTGGTGCCGGTGGGTGGGGTGTGTGAGGCTTGTGGGTGAGACAAGACATATGTGATGGATGTGACTGACGTCCTGACTCGCGCAAACGAATCAACGGACAGCCTCGAAAAATAAATGGCACCCAAAGCTCTCAATCACATAGACAGACATACACACAGCTGCTAGTCACTGTGAGGTGCACGCGCTAACAACACAACTGGAGATGCACAATATGTACATCACTGTGGTTGGTTCATTCATGTCTCTGCGTGTCCATTCGTCAGTCAGTGTGTCAGTGTGTCAGTGCGTCAGTCAGTCTGCTCATTGGTGTCGTCAGTTGGTCGTGTTGGTTGCCGTGTTGGTCTCAGAAGTCTCCGCCCTCCAGCTCGGGGACCTTGGCACCCACGTGGCTGACCAACACACACACACACACAGTGTCCATCCATCCATCTGTGTGGTGTGTGCGGCTGCAGCTCACTGGAGGTGTCCGGCGAGGATCGACTGCAGGTACCGGCCGCTCACCGACGGACTTGACGACAACTGACACACACGAGACACACACACACACTTATGGCATGCCACCTCTGTCTCTCTGTCGGTACCTCGACGCGGATGAGTGCAATGGCGGCGGCGAGCAGGAGGGCGCCGACCACACACATCAGCACGCGATACACCTGGTTCCTATCAGATCGACACACACAAACATCCATATGTGTGTGGCTCTGTGTGTGTCTGTGTGTCTGACCAGCCCATGAAGCGCGTGGCGCGGGCGTCCGTCTGCAGGAACTTGCGGTCCAGCAGGATGGAGCCGGGGAAGGCCAAGTAGTTCATCACCACACCAACGAAGGTCCCCAGCCTGGGCAGCAGACGGCACACACACTCACAGATGGACCTGGTGTTGGTGTGTGTGTGTGTGTGTGATGCATCCACACTGACCGTTGGTTGCGGGCAGCCCACGCGTCCTCCTTGTTGTCCTTGAACCACGCACATCGCTCCTGCAACTTCTGCGCATCACACACAGACAAAAGAGTGAGTTAGTGAGTGAGCCACGGCAGTCAGTGTGTCCTCTCCTCTGTGTGTACGTCCAGTTTGTCGTTGAGTGTGTAGTCTTCCTTGTCGGCGAGTTGCTGGTCGGCCCACGGCACGGCGTCGCGGAGTGCGGCCTCCTTGATGGTCGTGCAGCCGCTCAGGTAGCTCATGGCCGGCTCGCCGCTCGACATGAACTCGGCCAGCGTGAAGATCTCACCGTACTCAGCCACGTTCATCTCTGACACACACACACAACACACAGATACACGTGTGGATCATCTGCCCATGTCTGTGTGTGTGTCGGTTGGCTGCTCACGCTGGAAGTAGGCGCCCAGGAATGCGGCGAAGGGAATGTAATACGGCACGAAGGCTGCAGGCACACAGACACACAGACACACACAGAGAGAGGTGTGGTTGGAGTGAGGTGTGGTCAGGTGGCTGGCTGGCTGACCTATGGTTGTGAGTGGGTCGTCGATGAAGATGAACATGCCGATCGACAGAATCAGCGGCAGCACCACCAACAGCACCAGCGGATCGGCCATCGCTTGAACTGACAATCACACACACACACAGGGAGAGATACCTGTGTTGACGGCTGTCTGTCTGTCTGTCTGTGCCTGCCTTTACCTTTGCTGACGATGAGGACGGCTTTGCGGCGCAGCAACTCGTAGAAGAGCCGATTCATCAGAAACGCCCGCTGAGCTGCACACCACACCACACACAGAGAGAGAGAGGGGCGAATGGTGTGTGTGATTGTGTGGGTCGTGTCGTTGAGTCTGACCGACGAAGAGTGCGGCTGCCGCGGCGATGAGGGGCGTCGTGAAGAACACCAGACTGACAACACAGACACACACAGACACAATGATGAGCTGCTGTGTGTCTCCGTCCGTCTGAGTGTCCGTCCATACGTGCAGGTGTGGCAGAGGGCTGGGACGGCCGAGAGTCGGCAGTTGGGCCGCTCGTTGATGAGAATGGCCAGCCACAACGCCTCGAACATGAAGAACACCAGCGTCAGCACGCTGCCCAAACTCACAACCGCAAGATTGAACGGGAAGCCGTTCTTGCGCTCGTACGGCAGCTGATTGTCAGTCAGCGGCAGAATGAGACAGACACACACACACACACACACAGAGGCAGACAGACGGAGACAACCACAGTGAACGAATGCCTCTCTCTGGTTGTGTGTCTCTGTGTTTGTGTTGCATACGTCTAGCATTCTGTCCTCCTTGCCCTCAGCCGGGAGAAGGAAGAGCAGAGTCTCCTCGGCGCCCTCGACGTCATCCTTCGCAGGAACGCCTGGCATGATGACCGAACGACCAAAGCAGTGTCACCGAATTCCAGGCAGTCAATCAACACAAGCGACGGATGAGCGAGTGATTGATTGGTTGTGCGTATGTGCGTATGTGTATGTGCATATGTATACATGTGTATATGTAGGAGCATGTGTGTGTACACATGGATAATTGCTCTCGGATCGCTCCTTCGTTCGTTCATTCATTGGCCAGTAAAAATGTCTCTCACGCATCCGTCCAGGCCATTCCCTTGTTGCTTCTGTGTCGTCTCTCTACTCCACCACAGCACGCCACCAGCTGCTCGTCTCATTGTGGGGTGTCAAGCTTCGTCCATTCTCTAAGAACAATCCAGCAGCCAGCCAGCCGACCAGCCAGAGCAGCAACACAGCAACCAGCAACAACCAAGCAAAAATGTGCGCACTGAGTCCGACCAATCGACCACTCGACAGACATACAGACGAACCACACCAGGCGTAACACGACGGGAAGACAACAAATGGCGAAGGAGAAGACGTAGTGGAAAGTAAGAATATATACATATGAATGTATAGTGTATATATAACCGCGTCGGTCCTCTCCCCTCCCCCCTCCCTCTCTCGTCGAAGCGTTAGTAAAAAGAAGAAAAAGTCAAAAAGAACAGCTGTTGACACAGACAGACAGACAGACAGACAAAGACGACCAGACAGGCAAGCAGTGTCATCCATCCATCCCTCCATTGTGTGAATGGGTCTGTCTGTCTCCCTCCTCTCTTCTCTTGGAGGACCTCCCTTATCCTCACAGGTTGATCTATACAGTGATCGACACAGCGCGCCACGTACGGGCCTTGCTAGTTGGCTCGGCTTCGTGGTGAATGACCCTTTCGCCACCACACCACACCTGTCTGTGCGCGTCCACCCTGCCTCGCACTCATGGGTCCTGAGAGAGACAAGTAGAGTCGTGCCACACCGTTGTGTGATGCTGCACGCTTCTGCTGCCACCCCCCACCGACCCGAGAGCGCGACACGGAAGGATTGCACGTGACAGGAAGGTAGAAACATGCCCACCTCCTCTATCCAAATGAACGACCGAATTCCCCGCCCACCACGCACCAGACCCAACCAACACGCCAACGACGATGGTGTTATGGTATGGTGTCATGCTAAAAATTCCACTACACACACACGACACACACCCGGCCGATCGAGAATGCAAGAGACGGTGCGCACCCGTATAGAAGAAATCCAGTCATCCAGTAGTCCGACAGAGACGGCCAGGCAGTGAGAACGGACGGCATCCATGCAGGGACGACAAATCCGGTCCGGTATCCGTTGTGTATGTATAACAAATCAGCCAGGCAGCCAGTGAGTGAGGGGGTGAGGGAGCGCGCACCAGTCTCCTTTGCTACATACATATGTGCCGTTCATTGTATCGACCACCACACATCCCTACACGCAGGCGACTCAGCACAACGCAGCACAACACGGCAAGGCAAGGCATGACGTGGCAGGGGGACCTGTCCTCGCTTTCTGCCGATCGATGGATGGACTGATGACAATGCGCAAGAGGACGCGGGCATCCCCTGGTCAGCCACTCACTCCCAACCACAACAAGAGGGAGCCACACAGAACCACACACACACTAGGCAGACACGCACCGGCACGGCATACACCACACGCCATGGACGGATGAACCTCCTCACAAACAGCCCCGTCAGACCGATTGAAAATATCCACTAGCAGGCCCAATGGCATGTATGTCCCGCCCCTCATTCCGATTCATGAAAGCCCCTGTGTTCCGCCGGCCTCATCGATGGGCTGACGAAAGCCCTTGTCAAGGGGCAACCACCAGGCCATCGATGCCCAGGCTCGACAAACAGGACTTTCGTGTATCGGGATTGCCATTCTTGCCTTTGGTCCTGCGTGCATTGCTCGAGCCACGGGTGCCGTGATGGATGTCCGCGGCAGCGATATGGCGGCCGACGAGACACACGTCACGGTACCCTACGCGAGCAAAGCACACACAGACCAAGACGACATCCAGCCATCAGTCAGTCAGCGGCGAAGGCAGATGATACAACAAATCAATCGGGCATGGCATGCAAGGAAGATAGGCAGTCAGTCACGCAGGCAGCCTCGTCCATGTGTGTACGTAGGTATGTACGCACTTGTGAGGCGGGGGGTGGGTGAGTTAGCAAAGCAATCAGTAAATCCCCTGATGTGATGCAGACACGCAGCCAGTTGTCCCCTCCCCTTGCTTCAATCCATCCATCCATCCACTCGTCAGTCGTCAGTGTGTGATAACGCATAACGCATTCCATGGTACATAGCTATCATACAGCACACACGACACCCAGCAGAAAAAGCCAGCCGCAGTCAATCCAGCAGCCATACCATATCGATCGGTGTGTATGTCCACCTCCACCTCCATCTCCTCCCACTAAGCACGCCGCGCGCCCACCAAACGGCACGGGCATGTCCCTCCTCTCTTTCGTCCAGTCTGGCGATCAAGCGCGACACACACCCACGCTCTCTCATTGTATTGTTGCCGCAACACTGACCGCATTGGATAGTAAGAAATACCATCCATCCATCCATCCACACCATCATCAACAGAGATATCCATTCGCTGGCTCCCTCTTGCGCGCACCACACGCAAGCCCATCACATAACACAACACAACACAACACACCACATCACGCCAAGCCAAGCCAAGCCAAGCCAAGCCACACGAAATCACAGCCGGTCGACCGACACATAAAAAAGGTCACGCCATGCACGCTGCTGAGTGTGAAGTGTGAACACAGCCAGGGGGGTGGGTGGGGGAGGAATTAGCGTTAAGTGTGTGTGAGTTCAGGCGCAGGTGTGAGTGGCGGGGGATGCTGGCAGGCCCGGGGAGGACGACCCGCCGACGGAGCTCTTCTTGCGCCTCTCCTGCTCGTCGGCGTCGGTGTGTTTGGAGCCGCCCAGGTGCCCCATCGGCTCGTCAGTGGCCGGCTTGAACTGCACCTCGGTCGAGCCCTCCTGTTGGCATGGCATGGCATGGCAACACGACAGACACAAGACAGACAGCATGATGACCAACTTGCAGGCAAGTATGTGGTGGTGGTGACGGCGCCCACCTGCTGCGATTTGACGGAGGAGTGTCCGCCGGACGCGATCATCATGCTCGCATCCATCAGACCCTGATAAGGAGGAGACACACCAAAGGACAACACAATCATGCGCACACGACCGCTCCCTCCCTCCCTCCCTCGTTGGTATTCGCAGACTCACCGCTCCGCTCCATTTCTGGTGTGTGAGCAACTCAGGTGCATGCATCTTCTCGGGTCGCTGGATGTCCTCGACGTAGGCGAGCATGCCCCGCTTGGCGTAGTCGCAGGCGAAGCGTGAGATGTACATGCCGTTGCAGTGAAAACCAGCCAACGTGATGAACTGAATGAACAATTACATGAAAGACATGACATACACACATGCGGTGGATGGCCATATAGGGTGACGTGGTGTGGTGTGGGTGTGGTGGCGATGGCGCCTCACCTGCCAGGCGAATCCGAGTTTGCCGATCTCCGTCTGGAAGTCCTGGATCTCCTCGTCACTCATGCCAGCAGTAGACCTGACCAACAGCAAGCCAAGCCGACACACCAACACAACACGTACACGCTATCCTCTGTGTGTCCATCCATCCATCCATCTATCTGTGTGTGTGTGTGTGCCTGATTCCTGACCATGCTCACTCACCAGTTGAAAGAGGGTGAGCAGTTGTAGCAGAGCAGCTGGTGGGGGTAGGTCCCGTGAATACCGTCGGCGAAGTACTTGCACTGCGTCAGGTTGGGCGTCTTGGTCTCGAACCACAGCATGTCGCTGTAGGGAGAAAACGCCAAGCCGCGCGCCACTGCCATGTCATTGCCGCCCTTGATGCGATAGAAACCCTCGCGAGAACGGGGGGCTGCACACAGCAGCGAGGGAGGGAGGGAGGGAGGGAGGGAGGTATTTGGCAGTGCATGGTGAGTGCATGATGTGTGTACCGTCCCAGTCGAAGTAGATCTGCTCCTCGGTGAGGCCGAGTGAGAGGGCGAGCTTCTTGGCATCACGGTGCGACAGGCTGTAGGCCTGCTGCCGCCACGTGGTCAACGCCGCATCGCGATCCTCTGATGCACATCACCCACGCAAGAAGGAGAGCGCAAGGCGATCATGTCTGTGGATGGGCGGACGACTGGGTGGGTGTGGGTGTGTGGCTCACCCTCGTTGTCGAAGTGGGCTTCCTTAAGTGCCTTCACCACACAGGCGGGGAAACGCATCAAATTCGCTGACTCCAGCCTAAGGCACGCACACACACACACACACATGGACAGTTAGATACGCACCCATCTGTGTGTCTTCGCGCGTGTCCTGCTGCCCTGCTCACTCACCAGTGCTGATTGAGCTTCTGCTTCTCGGCCTGGGAGATGCCCTTCTCGTCAGCCTTGTGCATCACCTCATTCTATACAACACACGCAGAAACAGCACACAACACAGATCACACACATCGCTCACATTAATGCCCCATTGACCCACACACCGCCCCGCCCCGCCCCGCCCCGACCACATCAGCCCGTCACGTACCAGAGGCTCCAGCTTTGGGTTGGTGCAGCCGAGGATGTAGGGGTGGTCGCGGGCGTCGATGTTGTTGTCGAGGAACTGAGCCGACTCGGCGTCCGTCCGTGCGATGAGGACCAGGCCGCACTCCATGACGTCGGCCATGAGGCGGGCAGCCGTGAGCCGGTCGATGTGCTCCTGCGTGCTGACCAGCACCTTGCCACCCATGTGGCCGCACTTCTTGGCGCCGGGACGCTGGTCCTCGATGTGCACGCCCGCCGCACCGTTCTCAACCATCTGCTTGATCTGCACACACAGGGGAGAGAGGAGAGAGCGGCAAGGCAAGGCAAGGCAAGGCAAGGCGTGAGTCTTTCGTGTGTGCGTGTGTGAGGTGGGAGGTGTGTGGGTGGGGTGGGTACACACCAGTTTCATGGTAGAGGTGACGCCGCCGAATCCGGTGTCGCCGTCTGCGATGAGAGGTGCGAGGTAGTCGATCTCGGGGTGCAGCTCGCGCTCCTCACGGCTCAGGCGCATCCTCTCCTGCCTGCCAAGACAACACAACACAACACAACACAACCACCTCTCAGGACACCACGCCATCCCCCTCTCTCTCGTTCGTGTGTGGTTCTTGCTTGACCCACCCACTCATTCACTCACTTTTGCTTTCTGTCGTGGAAAAGCTGTGCCTTGAAGAGCTGGTCGACCTTGGTGGGCACCGTGTTGCTCGGGTAGTCGGCGAAGTCGGGACCCGGCTCGTTCGTCGTGGATGCGGTCGACGAACTGAACACACAGACAGACAGACAACGCGACACGAGACGCAAGGAGAGTGAGGTGAGGGAGGAAGGGATGGATGAGCGTGTGTGGGATGCTCACCACTGCCAGCCCGAGACGTAGACGGTCTTGAGGTACTGCGCCATCTGAGCAACCTGCAGGGGATCCAGCTGCACACACACACACACACACACACAACGCGCACCCTCCCTCTCGCACGTGAGACACACCCATGCACCCCCACCCTGGCTCCCTCCCTCCCTCCCCCCTCCCTGTGTGTGTCGGTGAGTGAGTCACTCACCGCGCCGAAGGTGTTGGTGAAGGTGCGCTTGTCGAAGCACTCCCGAATGAGGCGGTAGAGCTTCCGCGCCGGACGCACACCCGCATACTCACGGTGGTGCATGCCCCGCAGACTCACCACATCTGCACGCAGCGAGACACATGCCACTCCCCTCCCTCACCGACCGACACGCCACTCCCACCCCCCCCTCTCCCCTCTCGCCCTCCGCACCTTCAGCGGTGTATGTCCTTTTGGTGTACTTGAACCGCTCCGACTCCATCCAGTGGTGAGCCTCCTCGATCTCGTGCTCAATCTCCTTCTTCATCTCCCCGTTCGACAGCTCCTTCTTGGCGACCATCTTGCTCCTCAGAAGCAGAATCGGAGTCAGCGACAGGCACGGGTGTCAGCGAGTGGTGTGATTGTCACAGGCAGGCAGAGGCGTGACAACAAGGACGAGGGAAAGCGGCAGAAGGCGGCGAGGGCGACCAAGACACGCCAGACAAGATGCGACGCCTGAGAACCGACGGTACTAACACGACGGACCTGCGAGCGACGACCCAATGACTTTGGGTCGCGAAGAGATCGCGCTGTCTCCTGCAGTGGGGCTGGCGAGATGGTCTTCCAACGACAAGATGACTCATTCGAGCGTTCCTGGACGCCCGTCTTGACGAAGATGCATGCAGCTGGGGGACGCCCCCCGTCTGCATGCACTCGCCGCGTGGTTCACATCGTCTTTCACCGACACAATGGCAGTGGCTAGCCAGCCAGGCAGTCACATCGTCTTTCCACTAACACAGTGGCCTACAGTGGCTGGCCAGCCATGACATTTCATCCCCCACCAGATCCCACGCCGACCACATGCTCATCTACTCATCCATCCATCCATCCGTTCATCCATCCATGCTCGACGACCCGTCCGCCCGTCCGTCCGTCCTTCGTCAGTCATCCCGGCTGGTCATGCAGAAGATGGTTCAGTGTCCCCCCAGGCCTCCAGCCTCTTGAGCAGCCTCTTCTTCTCCGCCCGCAGCCTGGCGTTCTCGGCTATCAGTGTCCGCCCGCCCAGCACATCCGACGTGGTCTGCTTGACGTACCTCGCCCACCGCTGCCCCAAGGACAGCCACCTCATGATGCGCGTCCAGTCACGCAAACTCTCATAGATGTACGGATCGCCGCGAAATCTGACACACGCACACACACACACAGCGCAGGTTGGGAGAGTGTGTCCACAGCGCGAGACCCCGCCGCTCAGAGAGAGAGGCGCTCACTTGGACGCCCGATGGTGCTTGACGTCCCGCTCGGCGAGGAGGGTGCTGGTGCGGTTGAAGCTGCGCATCTTGCCGCTGGCGAAGAAGAGGAAGGTGGGGAGCGACTGGATGCCCAGCCCGTCACACAGCTCCCGGTGGGTCTTGGACGCCACGCAGTTGAACTTGGCCACACGGATGTCCTTGACCCTTCGCTCCACGTAGAAACGACCCAGACTCTCGGTCAGGGGGGCAAGACGCCTGCTTGCACCGCACACAGACAGACAACACGCACACCACACCCCGACAAACAGGCCATTCAGTAAGTTATGGAACCTGACTGAATGTCTGGTTGTCTTTCTATCTGTGAGTCACTTGTGTGTGTGTCTGCCCTGCAGGCGATGAGTGCTCACTTGCAATCGCTGCTCCAGGGTGCATAGAAGAAGACCACCAGGTCTTCTGACCACACCTCCATGTGGTGCCGCAGCTCAGCCACGCTCAGATCCACCACCGTCTGGCCCGCCTGCCGGAGGTGCGCACCGACAGCAGCCACACACAACAGCAGATAAGACAGACAGATGAGCATCCAGGATCTTGACTGTTTTCGTGTTGAAGGCGATGTGAACAGCCATCCTGGATGGATCTGGTGGCCCGTCATGGTCATCTTTTCTCGAGAAAGTCACAGATAGCGGTTTCATGGAGCACCCTAGAGTCACAGAATTTGCGAGCTCAAACTGATCTGGGCATCCTGTGAGGGAGATCTTCGTCCTTTTGCTCTTTATCAAGCAGGGCTGTTCATCGCCAACGATTCACAATGCTGCAGCTATCAAGATTATGCATCGTCACCGCCCTCTTCATTGCATCGTCAAGATGCTTCACTCCTTCCCCCCATTCCCCCAGCCCAGCACGGCGGCATGGCGGCTCCCGGACACCAAGGCGCCTATCGCGGCTGCGCATGTCCGCCGACGATGGCTTTGCAGACTGGTCCGGCAAGACGGCTTTCTTCTTCCCTGGGCAGGGCGCGCAGTACGTTGGCATGGCCACCGAGACCGCCGAAGCAGTGCCCAAGGCCAAGGAGCTCTTCGACAAGGCGAGCGAGATCCTCGGCTATGACCTGCTCGAGCGATGCCGCGACGGCCCCAAGGACCTGCTGGACAAGACGGCGGTCTGCCAGCCGGCGATATTTGTGGCGTCCATGGCGGCTGTGGAGAAGCTGCGGCAGGAGAGGGGGGAGGAGGAGGCCAACAAGGCCACGTGCTGCCTTGGCCTGAGCCTGGGGGAGTACTCAGCGCTGTGCTACGCCGGTGCGCTTTCGTTTGAGGACGGCGTCAAGATCACCAAGACACGCGGCGAGGCCATGCAGAGCGCCGCTGACGGGGCGGAATCGGGCATGGTGTCGGTCATTGGACTCGACAGTGACACCGTCGGCAAGATCTGCGACAAGGCGGCTGAAAAGACCGGTGAGGGACGGAGGGAGGGAGGGAGTGATCGTCGTCCTTTATCTGTGTGCAATGTTGGTTCGTTTGATGCCTGCAGGCGAGCCGGTCATCGTGGCCAACTACCTGTGCAACGGCAACTACGTCACATCTGGTTCAAAGGCTGCGTGCGAGGAGGTCATGGCGATCGCCAAGCCCGACTTCAAGGCGCGCATGACTGTCAAGCTGGCCGTGGCGGGGGCCTTCCACACCGACTTCATGAAGCCCGCCGTCGAGAAGCTCGAGGCCGTCCTGTCTGGCGTGGAGATCAAGACGCCAAGGATACCCGTCATCTCCAATGTGGACGCCCGGCCGCACTCCGACCCGGACACCATCAAACAGCTGCTCGCAAAACAGGTCACCGAGAGGCCGGCTGGCGTATCTATCGATTGGCTCTCTGACGACACACTCACACGTGTGTGTGTGTGTGTGTGTGTGTGTGATGCAGGTGACCAGCCCGGTGCAGTGGGAGAGCAGCGTGAAGGCCGTGTTGGAGAGGGGGTATGAGTCGGGGTATGAGCTGGGCCCCGGCACCGTCCTGGCGGGCATTCTCAAGCGCATCGACAAGACCAAACAGCTGGCGAGTATCTGCTAGCCAGCCAGGCAAGTTGCAGGCAGCGACCTGCCCCGCAGAGTTTTCCATCCGTGTGTCTGCGTGACTGTGCGAATCGGTGTATCGATCTGCATATTCCTCCGATGTCAGCTCTATGTGTCTTTTTTTTTCAGAGGCCCCATGCAAATGCAGCCAGCTGGCCTCAGATTTTGCCTGTGAGTGGTTGAGGGGGTGGGAGTGGCACGAGATGCGTTGACTGCAGGGGCTCGCTGCCCATACAATGCACTTCTGATGGGAAGGGAAGGGGAGGGGAGGGGGTAGCTGACTAATTGGCTGACGGCACACGACGTCTATCTTGTTGTTGAGTATGCGTGCGTGGTACCGTATCTCTGCCTTGCCTGCGGTGCGTCGGTCTCTTTCCTCCCACCATGCATCCATTCATCGATGTGCTCGTTTCTGCTGTCGAAGCCTTCGACGGGTCGCTGGAGGGGAGGAGGGAGGCACACGACACTACCGACCGATGCATATACTACACGCGTGGTGAATGTGGCCTTGACGGACACGACATAGGCTTAATCGGTCCGATCCACCCACCCATCGACAAACACCATCGACACACCGCACTGATCGCTATCTCCTTGACGGCACTAGTGTCCGTGCATCAGCCTCTTCCAAATCGATTCTCTCGTCGCTGACCAATCTGGCACACACGCGCACACACAGAATTCCTCCTCCCTCTCTGGGGGCTCACTCACTCACCCGAGAAACGCCATTGTTCCGAGTAGGTAGTGAGCCGCGAAGATCCAGAAGACGGCCCCCCATGACTTGCCCGTCACGTCCAGCACCCAGCCGCTCACAGGCACAGCAAGGGCGCCCGCAAGAATCCCCGCCGTGTTGCCCATACCGAACACCAAACCTGACAGCAGGGAGGGAGGGAGGGAGGGGTAAGTTATGTTGGCAGTGTCCCCATCTCCCTTTCTCATGCATACCAGCGTATTTGGGTGCGACGTCCAGGTGGTTGACTGAGACGGCGCCCAGAGAGAGGGCACTCAGGCCTGTGCCCACGGCAATAAAGGCGGCTGCCTGCACCACCACACAGACCAGACGTACACACAGAGTGCGCTGGTTGGTTCTTCGGTTCTCTCACTTCGACGTCGGACGTTGCTGTGTACACGGCCGCCAGCAGAAACACCGCCGGACCAACCATGCCGATCGTCTGTCGCACAGACAGGCGCACAGAGGACATCTCACACAGCGTTATTGTCAAGACGGACAGACACCCGCCCACCTGCAGCAGCTGCCTGACGGTTTTTGTCCTCCATTGTTTGTCAGCGATGAGCAGGTCGGCGAGGCGGCCGGCCGCCAGCCCCACGGACCCCTGCAGGAAGTAAGGGGCGGTCGTGAAGAGGGCCTGCTTGGACATCGCGACATCATACACCTGCACACACACACACACATGCACTCATCCATCCATCCATCCATGCCTCACACACGCAAACACATGCATCAGGTCTGTCTGCTCTTGTGTGGCGGGGGACGTACCTCTTCCATGAATGTGGGTAGCCAGTTGAGCAGGCCGAACATCCCCCACGATTGACAGTATTGACAGAGGATGATGGCCCACACCTCACGCCGACCCAACAGCGACGCCAGCCGCGCCCAGTCCACCCCTCCACCCCCACCCCCACCCTCAACCCTCCTCCTCTCTCCAGCCGTATCCTTATCATCACCGTCCCCATCGCTCCCCCCGCCACTGTCACTGCCTCCCTGCCTCCCATTCAGAGGGCAGGCCTCTTCTCCTGTCACGGATGACCCTACACTCTCCCGCGGGCTGTCCGCCTCATCGGCACTGGTCAGAGGCACATCGTCTCGGTCACTCGGGGTGTCGGCTGCGTCTCTTTGGATTGGTGGTGGTGGTTGGAGTTGGAGCGATGTTTGTGTGGCGGCGTGGCGTGTTTCAGGGTCGAACTGCAGCCAGAAGGGCAGCCATAAGAGTCCGAGTATGCCGAAGAAGTAGAATGTGGCGGGCCAGTCCAAGTAGACGATGAGCGATGGGCTGATGAGAAACGCCAGGAAGGCACCCAGGTAAGAACCAGCCGTCACGATGCCAACTAAATGGACACACACACACACACACACACCACATTCATCATCACGGCTGGCTGCCTGGTTCGTTGTCTTGTCGGCCCTTGTTTGTTTCTCCTCGGCTCACTCACTGACCTGCCGTTGACTGTCGTGACTGCGGGACGTAGTCAGCAATCATCGAATGCACAGCGGGGAACGCCACACCCTGAATGAAATGAATCCCACATGCAGGCGCAGACGACAGACACAAGGGTGTGATGTGGTGTCTTATCCGCCGCCCTTGTCTGCCCCATGTTTTCACCTCGCCGAGTCCAAGTCCCGCTCTGCACAACAGCAGCGGAATGGCACCCATGTGTGCTGCGAATGGCGTCAGGACGGTGAAGAAGCTCCAGGCCGTCAGGCCGGCGGTCAGCACGTCCCTCCCGCCACGGCGATCGGCGAGGAAGCCTCCCAGCGTCTGAGTGATCGCATACCTGTGTGGCGTACGTAGACGTAGACATACACAACCACCAACAAAAGAAAGATGATTAAGATGAGGTACTCATGCCGGCCTTCATGCGTGTGGCTGTCTTGCTCACCTGCATCCACGTGTGTATTTCATTGCTCACCCAATGAGGAAGCTCGACAAGATGATGCCCTTCTCGCTCTCGGACCAGCCGAAATCAGCGGCCATGGGGATAATCGCCGTCGCAATGTTCGACCGGTCCGCGTAGGAGATCGTTATGGCAGCGGTAGACAGCCACACAAACGGCCACGGCGACTTCCTCTCATCATCAACAGCAGCAGCTTGAGGCGGCGGCGGCTGCTCATCCGACACTGCTGACAGCTCCCTCCACTTGTAGCCGCGGTCACGGCCCTTGAGCAGGCCCAGAAGGCCCTGGCACCGCCTTGCTGCCGGCCGCAGCGGTGCCTTCGTGAGCCTCAGCGGAGCAATGGGCATCTCTGATGAACCGGATGATGCCTTGCCGATTGTGGCCGGGCGGACAGGTGAAACGAATGAAGGCGAAGAGGCCGCTGCGTGGGTCATGCTGCTGTGTGGCGGATCTGAGCCGACGGCGAGAGCGTTGGCCGTCATGAGAGGGGCGAGCCAAAGGGAGACGGTGAAGGATGAAAGCAGCCTATCTTGTCCAGATCTCGAATGCATGGACCATCACAAAGGAAGCTTTGCCTGCCTACGTCACCGGGACTCTTCTCGCAGAAACGATCGCGCATGCGAGCTTCGCTGCGAAGATCTCCAGCCTTTTTCTTCTTGTTTGGCTCTTAAGAAAGAGGTGAGCAATACGACGACACAGCGTGAAGGTTGCCAGCTGGCGTTTGGTGACTGCGTGTTTGGCAGATTTTCCACACTCAGACGAGGTGACTGAGCTGAGGGAGCTGGACTGAGGTTGGTGCTGCTGAAGCGAACGAAGGAGCTGATGTGATGGTCCTGGTGGCGTGGCAGCAAGCGGCGATTTGCGAGCAGCTGCAAGCAGTAATGTGAGGCGTCGCTTCCGGCCAGTCGGTCGATGCAAGGGAGGAGGCGGGAGCAGGAAGACGACGAGAGCAGGCCCCTCCCTCCTGGCTGCACACCCGCATCTCACTCTCGACGTGCGTGGTCGTGTGCTCGTCTGCTGCCGCGGTGGCTTGTTGAAGTCGTACTGCATCCTTCTTCTTTGTGACGACTGGGTTTGCAAAGCGGAGAGATGGAGTTGGCCCTTCAGAAGAAACCGCAGCAGCAGCTGATGACACACGCAATCGCACCAGCCCCTATTGATTTCTTGCGGGTTTGGTCTTGTTGAGGTGATCGCTGGTCTGAATCGAGGAGGCTTGCCTGACTTGACTGATCGCGTGTGTGCAAACAGCCGGGGGGTTTCTAGTAAGTGCGTTGTGGC